AACATAGTCATTTCATACGAAATATGCAGTCGGGAGAGGACAGATCCGACTTTATATGAAATACATTAACATACATACATCAATACATTTCCATGGAACTTTCCAGAAAATGCAAAACTTTAAATTGAGTCCCTATAGGCAGTATATAAACATTTTAAAAGGTTTTTTAACTTGCTATAAAGTAGTTATAAGCAGTGTCTTTAACAACTATAACTCCTCCTGTGGGCAACAATAAGTGGAGGCTCTTGTGTAAACAGATAATAAATGACAATGTGGTAAAACAGTTGTAATAACATAAAACATGTCTTTATAAGAGAAGTTATAATACTGTACATTAATAAACACCAACAACATATTATAGCTACGTATAACTACATTATAGTGTGATATAAAGAAATTATGTAATGTTCATACACTGCTTAAAAATGCTAAAGACTTGGGCATATAGGTTTGTACTTTTTCACCACTGGTGTGAGAGCATATCAGCATATTAATACCCAGATTATTGTCCCATGTACAAGTGACTACAGCCTATATAGCTAGAGTCAACGACATACAGTTGATATTATCTGTTCACCTACACATACCCCAGATATGTATATTAATCCACTGACATTTCTAGTCATCTATGGCTATTGTACTGTGGATTTTGCGAAACAACTCTGTAGCCAAATAAGAAAGTGGCAAATTCCTGGAAGGCCTGATAATAAACAGAAGGCATAATGTTTATTATCTGTTGATTTATCTTCGGGCTCTGCTTTTTCCCTAAACAAAAGGAATGGTGCTACAAAGCTAAGGCATGTGTCTACTCTGGCTATTAAAAAGAGATCACAGATTGTGACTCAACCAGCGCACATAAACACATAGACAGGGTGGTCCAACATGCTTCTGGCTCTCTGTGTGTGTGTGTGTGTGTGTGTGTGTGTGTGTGTGTATAGTCTCTTCCCAGGAATGTGCAGCCGTAAACAGACGAAGAGGCACAGAAGTCACATTACCACTACCACTGCCTGGGAGCATTAACATGGACACACAACGCAATGCAATGCAATGCAATGCAACACAGCTCGTACATCCTTTATTTTTACGTTTGCTTGGGTGTACGAGCATATATTGCATGTCACTGCACATATCTCAAAGGGCAGGAAAAAAACGACAACACAAAAACATGTGCAATCAGAGATGCAGAGGCTGCAGAGCGAGCAACCGAGGGGGCCTCCAGAGAGCTGGCCTGCTTGGACTGGGAGCCTCTGGCGGTCCCCCGGGGGCTCCAGGGGCCCTTACCCTTCACTCTTTCTTCCATGACACTAACCAGACACAGCAGCACAAACACATACAAGGATGGGGGGTGTGCTCTGTGTCTGTATATATGAGAGAGAGAGAGAGAGAGAGAGAGAGAGACCGAGAGGTAGACATCAAGATGGAGAGAGGGAGGGAAATGGAGGGGGAGACCGAGGAAAAAAAGAGGGAGACATTAACACATAAGCAGAATGTGCCCAGCTTCAACCCACAGCTTAGAGCATTTGACGACATTTATTTCTTAAACTCCTCTCAGTCTCTCCCTCGTAAAAGAGAGCAATTACATGTCCAGGACAATCCCACATTAAACAAACATTAGTTCTCTCTCCAGAGTCAGACGCGGCCAAATTACATCGTTTCCAGATGCATATCGCAAACCCACCTCACCTCCTGCTTGGTTCTCCTCTTTCTATTGTTCTTTTCTCCTCATGTTCTGCTCCTCTTTATCTCTCCCTATGGTTCCCTGAACTTCCCAAGTTAAGATGAGAGGTTGTGAATAACACCAGAGCAGGCTGCTTTCAATTACACTGCCACATCCACTACTACTGGAGGAGGAGGAGGAGAGGAGGGCCAGCGATGGAGGAGACAAAGGAGTCGACACAACTTCTTCAAGATGTCACATCTACAAAACCTATGACCAGATACTCTGAACTGTAAGGATTCTCTGCTTTCCTTTGGTATGCAGATTGATGATGAAATTCTTAGCAGCATCCCTAATGGTTTGAAACCCTCTGTGATAGCTGTGCATTGAGCTAAAATGCTAACTTCAGCATTCTCCCATGCTCACAGTGAAAATGCTAACATGTGTAGCAGGTTCATCATCTTACGTTAGCCTTTTAGCTTACAAATATTTGCAAATTAAAGACAAAGGACGGCGGGGGGGGGGGGATGATGGTAATGTAATTTGGTTCGCAGTAATTTGGTCATAAATGAAAAAGTCATCCTGCGGTCCCCAACCTTCTGAACAGGGCCCTTACCAAACACTCAGAAACACCGCTGACTAAGACCAAGGTGTTGTTTACAACCAAATACATTAAAAAAAAAAAAGCTAAATGTGCACTCTGCTGTCCAAGACACAATTAAGCTGAATGTATGTCTCAAGGTGGTTTTTATGTGTGTGCACATGCGCAGACGTCAAAACCTTCTAGCTGTGAACAATAAGCCACGACAACCCTCGTAGACATGGGAACCAATGCCACACGAGTTAGTATAGTCTAAGCTCAAGGATGAACAGCGGTATCATCATTAAGCTCCGTCTTGAAAGTCTATGACCCAGACGGGATGTCAGACATTTTTCTAGGAACAAAACTCCCGTCGTAGAAACGTCCATGAAATAATCCTACTGGAAATGTGCCTTGTGCCCTTGAGCAACACCCAAAGCAGGAGCACTATAGTGGAGCGGACCTCGCATTTTGACCTCTTACTGTGTGTGCATTGCATTTGTCTCGTTATTGTTGTCACTCTCATTACAGTCACACAGTGCACGCTCCTATTGGAAACAGCTGTCTGGAATGATATCTTTAACAGACGAGATTTAATCAAGGCAACGTAATCTCTCTTCATGTTTGTCTTTTCCATTTCCAGTCACATACGGTGGGTGTTTATGACTGCGTGTAAATAAAACAGAGCATTAAAATAAGCCCTGAAGGAAGGAAGCATCAAAACAAAGCTGGATAATTGCATTGTATATGTTTTTCATGACTATGTGTGTGTGTGTGCATGGATGTCTGTTTGTAAGACGGCCTCATCAGACAGTCGCTACATGGTTGAATGAGCACTCAAATACGCTCACGTTTCCACAACACCTAAGGGTACCTACGAGGACCTACGGATATATCTACAACTCCCAAACCGTACACACACACACACACACACACACACACACACACACACACGGAAATATGTTTACGCACACACACTTACCTAGGGCCAAGCAAATCTAATGAGACAGGGAGTCTGGGATGTATACAGACACACCTGAGGCAGAAGAGCCTGAACACAAATATAGACGGTTATACAGTCGACAGTAAACAGAGTGTATTCAGGTGTGGCGTCCTAACAAGAGCCATAGATACAGGATTGCATTGGGACAAACATCATGTTCAATGTATTGGTTTAAACTCTGCCACTTTAGTTACTGCTGTCGTGCTGTTAAGATTTCAATTTCAGATATACACCGATGTTCCGGAGAAATTTCCATATTACTTTGGTGCCACTGTGAATAAATGTTTTCAACATCCAATTTTACGAACGCTCAATACTTTTCATTTAATATCGTTCTACAAGAGGAGACTCTGCTTCAGTACAGAGTGTGTGGGACGTGAGCTGGAACAGTAATGAGAGGAAGACAAAAGGATCGGAGGAGACGGAGACGCAGACTGCGACTCGATGCTGGACCCGCAGGGACGGGACTTAAATTGAAATTGAAAATGTAGAAAAAGCACCAAACTGTGCACCACATCCTCAGATGGATCCCAGTGAGCACCTAAACTGGTCGACACAACTGGTGCCAGGAGCGAAGTGTGGAGTTGTCTCAGTGTTTTACAGCAGACTAAGAGGGACATCAAAAACATTTCAAAATCTGTGATGGAGGAGATGCTACAAGGCAGCGCATGACATTATGTTGTCTCTTCTTTACTTTAACTATATCAAAGAATGCTGACAAATGAACTGAACATTTTGATGGATACAGCTTTTAATTCAAATGCTTTGATGATTGCTTGTTTTTGTAAACTATTACAACATGGTAGGATCCAAATAGTAATAGGGTTACTTTGGATGAGAAGATCAATACCACTGTCACATCTGTATGCCAACTATGAAGCTTCAGCAAGCATTAGCTTAGCATAAAGACTGGAAACGGGGGGAAACAGCTAGCCCGGCTCCGTCCAAACCTCTAAAGCTCACTAATTCAAATATTATATCTCATTTGTTGAATCTCAGCAAGAAGATGAAAATCTGTATTTCTAAAACTATTTCTTTGAGAAAAAGTTTTAATTGGGAAAACAAATTGAAATGCTAAACTGGACAGTAAAAAAAAGTCAAAACTCACTTAAGTGACAAATTCACACTCCCTAAACTGTCACAAGAGAGAGAGAAAATGCCCTATTATGTGCAATATTAGCTGCAAAATATGTTGACATTAACTAAGAGGTGCTACAAGCTCTATAGTAAATGTTACCGATTGATTTTATCCGGTTAAGTGTGTCAAATGTTTTCAGTGAGCTGTAAAATGAGAAAGTTTGTTGGTGGGCGGTGCTTTGTTTTCACATGGCGGCCGGGTCACAAACTCTCATTTTACATCTGAGCAGCACACAAAAACGTGTTTCTGAAGACATTTTAAATGAGAAACGGGGAATACAGTAACATTACCATGATTCATATTTGATCAGCGGTGCCTAGTTTGATTGGAGTTCACGAGCAGTAATTGACAGCTGTGTTAGATTATCTGCCTCATGTACTACCGTCAGGATATAGTGACAGTTTGAGCCAATATGACAAAAATGTGTCTATATTAAAGTGACCCACAGTAGCTTTGAAGTGTATTTATTACCTTGTGGTTTTCAATTTAGTTTTCTTGTGTAAAACGTAATTATTCAATTATATGTAATTTAGCTTTGGCAATAATGCAGCGGGAACATTCCTGCCAATGAAGCTTGTTTGAATTAGAGATGTGAGAGAGAGAGAGAGAGAGAGATACTCACATAGTCGGGTAAGGCTGTGTTGTCTCCCTGTCGGCCTCTCAGAGACTGTGTTGCCTGCTCCAAAACCTTGTTGTGTTTTTTGGAAAGCAAAGCAAACAAACTGCAGGAGAGACACAGAGAGAGAGAGAGAGAGAGAGAGAAAGGAGTGAGCGCAGCAACCACAGATGAATGACACACTTCACCAAAGAACCCAAACACACAGTGGTCACACTGCACATGTTGGCCGGTAAATAAAGTGCTGTGAATACTGAAGAACCCAAACACACAGTGGTCACACTGCACATGTTGGCCGGTAAATAAAGTGCTGTGAATACTGAAACAGTGGCCTTAACTAAATATAACTGAAGAGAGAAGCCGTTATTTAAGACTGATCATTATTAGAGACGGGTCTGTTTTGCTTTCTAAATGAGGCCTTTAGAATAATTAGTAATAATTAGTTTTGGAATAACATAACATAATAATAATAATAATAATAATAAGGTTTGGTTACACTTTAAACTTTGAAATGTCCAGTATTTATACATGAGTGTATGTTTGTTGTCCTTGCAGGGGACCGTCTGCCATTTGACCCACAAGTTGACTGCCTTGCTCTACCCTTATTGTGTGTGTGTGTGTACAGTTGTCTGGGACCGCATGATTGAATGTGACGGCTAGACACGGACATACAGTACATCAAGAGTCCTCGAGTATGCTTGGGCGACCTTGGGTGGTTCAACACACACACACACACACACACACACACACACACACACACACACACACACACAGTGTTGACGCCACAGTACACCGATTCACTCAACATGTGTGATCAAGCAAGAGACTTGAGATAAATCACTTCTTTAATGTAACCTTTTAAAGCAAACAACAACTGGCTGCCACTTTGGATAGTTTTAAATTTTAAACTCTAAAAATAACAAGTTCTAATATATTAGTTTGACTGAAAATTTCAGATTTTTCTCTTGTTGACGTCTTTATTACATCTCATTTTATAAATCACGGAGACTTTTTTTCTCAGTGTCTCATATCGTATTCATTCGGTGTTTATCATTAGAATTATTAGTGACCTTCTGTTTTAATTACAACGTTTTAATAGTCTTTCCAGGCCCCCCCCCCCCCCCCCAAAGGCTGTTGAAAGTTTAATCTGTGTGTCAATCAAGGGGAAAAAATTACAGAATAAATTAAATTCAATGACAGCAAAGGACTAGCGGAAAGTCAGATGCAGAGCTCAGCTAAGCCCCTCAGAGCAACACCTGTCCATCCGTCAGCACTGGAAAACACACACACACACACAGACACACACACACGCACACACACACACACACACACACACACACACACGCACACACACAAAGTCTCTCAGCATTTCTTCTTCAGGCTAATTGGCCAAATGAAAGCTGAATGGAGATATCTGAGCAGCTATGAGGAGGTCTACTTGTTATCTACAGACCTAATGTCAATTAGCCACAACTACCTAATGGGGCCTCTTGTACGTCTTGTCCGGGCTTTTCTATTTCAAAAGAGACCACCGACCAAGTTCCACCTGGGACATTTGCCCACAATAACATCCCTCATGTGGGCTGAGGCAGTGACGGACACGACCCGGGAAACAGCGACACAGAAGGATTTCCACACTGCTGGCCTGATCCCAAAATCAGTTATGAGGCTGAAGTAACGACAGACGCCCCCCCCCCCCCCCCGGACACACTGAATATGTATGGCTGCTCTGTTTCTACCAGTTCAAAGGATCCTTTCTTATCTGGACACACACAGTGTGTGGATGTGAGCTGTTCATATAAATATGTAGTTGGACATTTGTATGCATGTTTACACATTAAGAAAACGTAAATAAAAAAAGTTAGTAACTGCATCAATCACATTTATTGTAATATAGCCAAGAAGACGCACAATAAACATTATATAATCAATTGAGGAACATTAACCGCTGCCCACCAGAAATGGTATTTGTGGTTGTAGAAGACAAAAGGAGGTCCCACCTGTTTCTTTCAGTCTGTATTACATATTATTAAACATGCCAATGTTGATGTTTGATTTTATGCTTTTGTCCAAAACAACAAACAACGGCTAAACCTTTGCAATATTTTGTCTGAAATCATATATTTTAGAGATGAAATTGAAAAAGTGCGTACAAATACAATTGAGTAAGTTAACTGTGGACTATAGCGGATTAGAGCTGAAACAATCAAATGGTGGTGAAATAATATATTATTTTATTAAAAGGAAATTAACAGGCCACTATTTTGATATTTAATTGAATCATTCTAGTAATTTGCAAGTAGAAATTGAGACTCTAGTTTCCTAAATGTGTATAAGATGTCACTGTGGGCTCTGGAAACATCTTTTTTAGACCAAACAATCTAGAGAGCAACTTGTGGATGAATCGCTCAAACGAGCATGTGTGGTGACTGTGGATATGGAGGACAGCAGAAAGGGAGTATTGATTGTGGGAGAGAATGAATAGAAAACAAAAAGGGAAAGATGTGAGGTGGTGGTGGTGTTGGTGGTGGAGGCAATTGAAACCCACTGCTGCCTGTAAATAAACAGCAACAACTGAACTAAGGAGCAGAGTTCAGAACTTCCTGGCAGACGGTTGAAAATTCCTGGCAGGAAGTCCCCTTTATCTAGCCAGTTCAGCCCAGCCTTGGCCATCATAGTCATCATCATTATCATTATCATCAGACATGGAGTCAGTTGCTCTACACTCAGCACAGGACAGACATGTACACATTCACAGACAGTGTTCCTCTCTGACTCAAAACACAGTCACAGATACAGAGAGAGACCCAGGCAGCGAGATAAGAGGATCCTTGAGCGTGCGTGGACGTGTGCACGTCTTAAGGGAAGGAAACATTCCTTCCTGTGTGTCCGGAGTTGACAAACAGACATGAATGACTTGATGTGTGTGTGTGTGTGGTCTTCCGTCTCCTCACAGGCCAAATCTAGCCCTTTCGGTTACCTCATGTGACATAATATCCTTCTCTACACAGGCACACAAATCTCTCTCAATATGTTATTCCTTCGTCTCTTCTGCTGTACTGTCGAGCTACTATAACAATCATTCAAATGAATGATCGTGCTTGTGTGTGAACTTGAACCCTCGTCTTTGGGCAACTTCTGTCTCTCTTCTGGCGTCTTTGCTCGTCCCACAGATGAACATTGTGTCAAAGCCTGCCACTTAACTTGAGGCAACAACTTACACTGTTGATTTCAGTGTGTGAATATACACAGATGGCAGGAAGCATGTTATCTCCTGTGCAATACTCGACTCAGAGCAGACTTTATTCACATTCATGCCCCGAGGAAGGCCTCTGGCGGAAACACATGAATGGCTTTGATGGTGTGCCAGCTTTTTCTACTTTATATTTCTTTAAACACACAGTTTCTCTCTCTGAGATGCACACTTGTTGTCTTATTTATTCAAATTGTCAGCCGGAAAGGAAGGACATTAACAGTTAACGTTAGTAGGGCCCGGAGATATGACGATGCCGTACTTTTTATACTGTGGTAGTATTTCTTTATCATGGAAAGTCAAAGAGCAGGACTGTTTCAAGGCAATATTAGATATTTGTATGCGTTTTGGATCAGCGTGATGAACTGTGTTAAATTTGTATTGATATTTTGTGTTATTTAATTCACTGAATTAGCCAAAAACAGGCCTCCCTAATTATTGTAATAAAAAAGGTCAAGATCCAGATTGTGATCTAAACTCCTAAAGATGTATAAATATATTCAAATTCTATGTCAAACAGACAAAGTACACAAATAAATAAATAAATAAATAGACTTGGTCACTTTGACTCAGTGTTATACGATTTTACATTTTGTTTCAAACCCCATTTAATATTCTACCAAAGAAAAGAGGAGAACAAGAGAGGCAATAAGTTGGATAGAAAAATGGAGGACAGAAGCTACCGAATAACATATCTATCATCCTCTGTTCTGCTCTGTCTGTTACAATGTGTCCTCACCTGATGATGCGCTGGGCAGCGTACTGGTGGAGACAACGAAACTGGGCCGACATGTTAGCAAGTGCAGCAAGACAGTTGGTGTGGAGGTACTTATCCTGGGGAGGACGCACACACAAACACAAACATACACGTTACCTGATGTTACTGTTCAACTGTGATGTTATTTCAATCTTTGCAGCAAATGCCCTATGTGGATGTGATTGACTACAGATTTTAGGTTTCTGAATGCATGGCTGTTTGCTTTGCAAGTGCACAAACTGTGCGAATACGTGCTGAACCTACCCGTGTCCGGGTCATGTTGAACTGGATGGTGCGGATGACCACCAGGATGAGCAGACTGCCGAGCGAGATCTCTGTCAATGTTCTCTCCGAGTACCATGAGACGTTCTTCAATACCTGTGAGAGGGAGAGACCCACAGGAATGACACATGTCAGCAATTTTTGTTTACGATTATCCCGGGCCATCGCAAGTAAAGGAAGTTTGCAGTGGCAACAATTGTTTCTACCCACCACCTCATGGACGGAGCGGTTGAAGGCATCGTCCTCTGTGAGGATGAGAAGGATAATGAGGGCCATGTAGACGTGATGAGAATTTCTGTCCTCCACGTGGTAAAGGATCTCGAGGATGGGTAACACCTGAGAGGAAGAGTGGGAGAGCAGGAGGAAGGTCTGAGCATGTGTGTAGGTATAGTTGCAGAGATGACTTTTTTTTTTTTTTGAATCCTGAATTCACAATGAAACAGCCTGAGGGGACAAAATGCTAATATATCGATCTTGCAGCACAAGAAAAGCTGAATACCTCTTCTACAAATAATATGGTATACATAAGCGAAAATGTATCCTCTCTATTATTCTACTCAGGGAAAGGACGCTTTTGTTGTCTTGCCAAGGAGCTTTATTTAAGATGAATCTATCAACGAGCCCAGTAAAATTAAATTATTACTGCAGTACATAAAGCCCCGTTACTATAGCAGTGTTATCACCTGTGGTTCAAACAGAGTACAAAGTAAAAGAGACAACAAAACACTACATATACTAGATGACATGGACATTATTTTCTAATTGGCTGCTACACTATAGGTGGAGGCAGATGTTGTATTCAGAAGTATGTAAAGCAGATGGTGAAAGCGATTCGCTAATGACGGCAATGTGCAAGATTGAATTCTCAGAATTGTACTGAAAGCAGTTAGTTTGCCAGCATGGTGAGCGATGAACCCACACAGATGCAGTGTTAGCTCATTACTCCGTGGTGCAGCGGCGCTTTATTGTGGCTAGACTCATTAGGAGCCCCCCCCCCCCTACATAAAAAAAACTCAATCTAGATCTGCTAATGATGATATTTTATTACAGCAGCTAGAAAAAGGGAACAACACAGAAAAGGTCATACTGAGAAAGATGTAAATGACCTGCAGTTTCAAAGTATGATTGTATAACAACTACATTTCCAGCACATGTTTGGTGATTGCCAACGATTTTGTGTTGAGTTCAGCTGCCTGGTCTTTTTAAAGCTGGTAAAAAGGCTAAACATATACTGTAACTCCTACTTCCACTCCAATCCAATAAAGCCGAATGATTCACTGTTGCACTGTGTGAAAGAGCCTCACGTGTGACTGCATACCATGTTCATATGCGATACCATCTGACATGCTGAGCTTTACATTGATTTTCATTCACTACATGCCTCGGTACATTCACTCTGCTGTAAGGAATAACTGGCACTGTCCCACATGGACAGAACGGCACCAGCTGCCACTGCATACATCCTCACTATTTACTGAGCCATAGCATCGGCCCTAGATGAAACGATTTCATGGCCACACGCATGTGTGGAAGCAAGGACTGCATAATGTGTTTTAATGAGGATTAGCCAATCACACAGTGGTCTCTCTCTTTTGCCTTTGTCAGTAAACTGCACACAAAAACGCCAATTGAGATGGGGATTATAAATGTGGACGCATGTGCGTTATTAACAACGGTCAACCTTGCCATCCTACCCACCAGATTGTCCATGTCGGTTCTGGAGAGCATGTACGTCCTCATGTTGGCGTTCTGGTGAAGGAGGGTGTACAGCAGAAGCGTGGCCTGGTCGGAGCGCTGCTGCTCACACAGCGCCGTGTACAGACTGTTGAAATTGATCTGGAAAGTGTGAGGTTGCTCCGCGGACAATGACGACGTGTCTATATGAGTAGAAGTAGATATTATCAGGATTAATACTTCATCACGTTACTTTATTACCCTCCGGTACACGTCATACACAACTCTGTACAATGGATAAACAAGTATAGTACCTTGTGTGTTTCTGAAACAAGTGATAGCCTGGCGGTAGGGGTTGGGCCAGTCAGGCCCGTCTGTCAGATTGGCTAGGACCAGCAGTAACAGGAGGCTCTGATTGGACAAAGGTAAGGGGTTGTGCTCCTGGTCTATCCCCACTTTGCTGCCAGCTCCACCTAATGTGAAGACACTCCACAGCCCACCTGGAGACAGACGGATACACAAATAGTACACAGTTAAAAAATATATACACACAGACATGTAAATATACACAAAACACGTCTTATGTTTCCTTCCTTTTCATTTCATTGGTGTATTATTAGATAATTCTGTTATGTCAGGTCGCTTCATGCATTTTTGGTCATTTTTCAAACGTGTTACATTCAAAGCACATTTCAAAATATTAAAATATTTCCTGTCCATCCTCTCTCTCACCTCTCTGGTTTAAAATCTTCACATAATTCATTATTGACCTGTTCGACTAATGACAATTTTAAATCCAATTTGAAGACCCGCCTTTTGTGCTTTCTTTTAATTTAGTCTGAGGCTTCTGCAATGGCTTTTGTCAAGTCCCATCTTAACGTATTTCTAACAGTATCTTACGACTTTTTAAACTCTTTTTGTTTTTAATTCTATTTCTCTTGACTTCCTATTTTATTTAATCCGTCTATTATTGAACCTTACAGATTCTAAACACATCTGCCTCGACTGGAAAGGACTTTGGGTCAAATCCTGTTGCTTTTAAATGTGCCTGACTCGACGTTCTTCAGCACAGAGAGTTTCAAGACAGGTGGATGGATCTGTACAGGACCGAGTTATGAAGAGCAGTCAGGTTGTGCAGTCAAAGCTCTGAAGTATTCTCACAACTTGCAGCTCTTCAGCCTTAAACCGATTTACGCTTCATAGGGAAGCGAAGGCAAAAGAGTACATGTGCAGTCAGACTGAAGTAATCAAGGCCAAAAGGAGCACAATGGAGTCACACACGATGCCTCGCAGTACCTGCAATTTGAAACAACATAGACGGCGCCACAGAACAAAAGACAAACTGGAACGACGGGCCAACTGGAGTGGGGTTCGTTTTTCTTGTTGGGGGGGGGGGGGGGGGGCCGAATTTCCTACAGAGCTGCAGAAGTGCTGGTGCTTTCAGGCGTCATGAGAAGCACGGGAAGCATGAGCACCAAGGTACACAGATGACAGCCTCTGGCTCCTGCACGTCTAGCCACACAGAACGCACGCACCCGAGCTCTGGTGAGAGACTGTGGCAGGTCCACACTGAGCGAGCTACGGAGTTTGAGAAGAAGCCCAGTAGATCTGTTGCCATCTAGTGGCAGAGGATGGAAGAGCAGATCAACTTATCCGTCATCAAGCCGTCCTGATCCATCCGACTATGACACACTCACGTCACCAGTGGACTTGGTTACTGAACTAGATTTAAGTCACGCAAACAAGAAGACATTAGTTCAAAACATTTCAGAGGTGACATGCTTTATGTACACCGACATCCTGCTGCATTTAAAAGATTAACTCAAGGAGAACGTGGGAGGTCACTTCCCAGTGTTCGCTTTTTGTGCCGTTTTAAAAAGGAAGGAGACAGAACAAAAGGAGTAAACTTGTGACTGTTTCCAACTTTGATTGATTTCAACCTCACAGTGCCTTCTTCAACTATGCATGAAACAATACTTCTTGACAACTTGTGACTCCGTCAACTTCTTAGTGACATCTATAGGGTTGACATGTTGGTTTCCCTCCAAGTTCATGGAGGGCTTGTAAAGAACACTGAGAGGCTGACTTTGCATGGATACATGTGTATGCAACTGCAGTCAGGAGGGCAGTGAATTTGTTTATATTTTAGCAAAAGGACATCAACAAACTGCATCCACAACAGAAAGAAATCCCCTGGAGAGAACTGACATCATTTGTCAGTCTCTCTCTCTCTCTGCACAAGAGAAGTGAGTGTGAGAGAAAACAAGATCTTCAGAGAGAGAGAGCGAGAGAGAGGGAGGGGGGGCCAAGTTGTGCCGGAGCCCTGTTCATCTCTTCACTGGCACCACGGTGACTAGCCCAACAGTGTCAGAGAGCCCGGTCTGGCAGCCGCATTTCCTGCATTTCCTGCACACACACACACACACACACACACACACACATACACACACACACACACACACACACACACACACACACACACAC